CAAGGTTGCCAAGAATGGAAATATAATACAAAATATATTTGCGTGAAAACACCTTTCTGACCAGACACACAGCCCACCTGGGTCTTATTTTAAGTCTGTCTCCCTTTTTTTTTTTAAAGAAAAAACGTTTGCGGCATTATTAATGATAAATCTCCCCAGGACACTTATTGGAAAAGAAAGGATTTCGAAAGTGATCTTTTGATGAAAAGGTATTCTTTTGGATGTCACATTTGAACCAAATCACAAATGTGTAGATTTACAGATTTAAAACTATAATTTGTACATTTGTGTAATCATAAGATAGTCAGGGGGCGTGTTCAGGGGGATTTCGATCAGAGAAATAGGGGGCAAGTTCAATCGTGGGACAGAACATACTTAAAAAACTTAAAGCAATTAAAAACATATTAATAACAAAAAAGACAATTTGGTGAGGAATATTAGGAATGGGGCTGTAATACAGTGACAGACACAATTTGTTTGATTTTTGTTTTTATATCTGTCACTGAATTGGATCAAGCATGAATGGTAGGCCACACATGGCAGTGTGGCCTACCGGTGCCAAAATCAAAGTAGTTATTTAGAATTTTGATTATCGATGGTATTTAACATTGTTTTTTTTATAGTAGAGGGGGATTAAACATGTAAAGCAAGCTATTAGATATAATCATTAGCCCTTTAAAATGCAAAAGATATCATATAATGTCATGGAGGCTTAAATGCCCCCGAATGCTAAGAATGACCCAGATGCCATTTCTCTTGAGGCCACGTGACTCAGGGCACCCCTGAATAATGGCAGTTTAAATGCAGGTGAATGAAGCCCAATCGTTTGCACAAAGGTCATCGGCCCAGTATGCAGAATATTTTGTAAAAACTAAACTAAAACCAAACTTCTGTAGAATATTAAAACCTCTGGTATGTCAGTAAATAATCATCAGAAGTATCCGGATTTTGTAAAACGAATGCCTGTCCATTATAAACCCGGCTCGATCCGCTCTGAATAAGAGGGAAAGATTGTAGAACTGTACTTTAGGATTCACGACAAGAACAAGAACGACACACAACTTGTTTCACTGAAGTTAAAAGCATCATTTTATTTCTAAATACGCTACAAGTCAAATGGCAAAACAGGAAAATCTCTTTCACTTCTTTTTTATACATTTTTAACCCCTGAGCACCACAATCCAGCATTCCCATAATGCACTGGATTTATCCAAGATGAACTAAAGGGAAATAAAAGAAACATTTAAAGCTTCATACACAGCTAATAAAGCGATTAGTGTCTACAAACTACCAGCATAGCATAATACAAAGTAAACAACATGTTATTTGATTACATAAGTAAATTATTTTTTTTCTGCATGCAGAGCTGTCACTTTGTCTTTGCTTGTCTGCTCTGCCTTTGGTTATGACCTAAAAATCATGTTAACGTAGTCACAATTTGAAAAACTCTTTGGTGAGAAGAATGCAGTATCTGATGTGTTCAGTGGCATCGTTCAGCAGTATGTACAGTATGTGCGGGAGACAGGGCTGACCTATGAGGAGCACCTGGATCATGGAAGTAGAAAATGTACACTGTGAGCCCCGAACCAGAGGCAACATGTGCACCACCATCTTGGACAGCCATCTCCCGGACAATTAAGTTCGTTCTTTGTTTTGAGGGAATGGAGACAAAGGCGTGGCACTTAGTTACCTTTAAGGTTACATGTATGTATTGACTTAAATGGAAGATTCTCCATGTTGAAATTTTTTTTGTTTTTGTTACTTCACCTTAAAAGTCTCCAAGAAGAACACCACCCAATGTACTTCCAATTTACAGAACCTCTGACTGACTGATCCAGGAACATGGTATACGTATGCAATTCATAATCACAAATGGTAATAAGGTGAATGGACCTAAGACTATTCTCCCTAATCTTGACAGAGGGAGAAGCAGATACTATTTTATCTTTCTACTAAAATGCTGTCATCGGCTCAAATTCTTGGTGTCTGTGCAGTGGTTGGGTGTATCACAGGTAAAGAAGAGTCAGAGTTCATAGTGCAGCAGATGGAACCATCAACCTCCAGAACCCTGCATACCTGCAAATAAAAAGAACTTCTCCCACTTTGCGACTCTATAGAGTGGTGCAGGATGAGTCCTATAACCGGGAAATTAGTTAGCATTTTTCCAATTCCAATTCTCTGAAGTTTTTTTAACTGAGACTACTAAAAGTCATCAATCTTAACATTAGCCGCCTTTAGCTTAGCGGTGGTGACGAAAAGTCCTGCAATTGTGATGTCTTGCTATCACATTTACGCTTCAAAAAACCAAAAAGGCGTTTTAATATGTGGAGTTAATCCTGCTGAACAAAATTTGTAAAGGTGTGTTTGCCACACATCTTATTTCCTGGAACCAATTCCAATAGAAATATCCCATTGCTTTTTTGTCGAGCGAACCCTTGCGATGCTAACTCCCGGATTGGCCAACACAAATACATCATCAATGCACCACTCTACTGCAGTACTGAGGTCCATTAATACTGATCTGCTATCAGTGTTTCAGTGTTCAGGGATGCAACACAAAGTGTGTAAGGAAGGGATTCTTTCCTCTGACCTTTGTCTACCTGCACATTTGTCTGATTGCTGGAGAACACATTTCAAGTAAACATGAGAATTATAAAGCACAACCACCATCTTATTGGCTGAGGATTGTCCTCTGCTGCACGATTGTGTTTGTACAAATTCAACATCACCATCTATACATACAGTCACATAATATATTATTAGCTTTATCACCAGTACTCAGCCTAGAGTGTTACACTGTCATCATAAGCTAGTCAAAGCATTTTAAAGCAGGAACTGTGAACAATCTGCATGAAGTCAGACCAGGAGATCTATGGGCTCAGAACAGTCTCATAATACACACATGCACACAGAAGGATTCACACTTGTGTTTTTCAATGCACACACAAATGTGTTCCGTTTCATATACATGTAAATAAAATCCAAATACAGAAAACAGTTTTAAATGTGTATTTTTGATCCACACATATTTGTTTTCCGTTTAAAACCTCTGAACCTGCATACACAAACCGCTTTCTGTGCACNCACACTTGTGTTTTTCAATGCACACACAAATGTGTTCCGTTTCATATACATGTAAATAAAATCAACATACTGAAAAAGGTTTTACATATGTATTTTTGGTCCTCAGATATTTGTTTTCCGTTTAAAACCCCTGAACCTGCAAACACAAACCGCTTTCTGTGCACGGATCGCTGTGCATTCGTGTGTGGGTTTTTTGAGACTCCCCTGACGGTCAGCCGATTCGTACTTGTAATTTTTTCTATCTATAGCCAATCAGATGTCTCCTCAATTCTAAGCCAATCACATGAGCGCGCCCCCACGAGGGTAGATTTCTTGCGTTAATGACGTAGCGCTTCATGTAGGCCTACGCATTTTGCGCAGTCCGGAGCTGACAGGTCCATGGAGCCTGCCTGCAGGCGCTAATCTCAGGACACCTCCACTCTCAGTACATTGCCACTTTCCGAACAGGAAATGCACGCAAATACAAGCCTTTATATTTTTAAGGTTCAGCGCCACTTTCGATGAATGCTTGTGTGTACACAAAAACGGCAGGCAAAACCGTTTTAAATGTGTGTTTCCTGTATGGCGAATACAGCTGCTTTATTTATGTCTGTANTCATTCAGATTCTGCTATGGTTGCGTACAATAGCACATTCTGAACAACCCCTGGGTTAATGTTGGTGGTTGGGGTGACGGGTTAGGGGCAATGCTTATGAGAGACTTCATCATTTTAAATGCAGGACTTTTCTATGTGTGTCAGAGTATTGCTGCACACACACACACACACACACACACACACACACACACACACACACACACACACACACACACACACACACACACACACACACACACTCACATTAAGTGAGTTTTAAATCGTCCTACTTAGTTTATAAGGAAATTATGAAGAGGAACAAATTAAATGATTTGAAAATGATATCTATGTGCTGATGCTGTTGGCGGTTCTAGTGTTAACAGACATTTAAATTAAATATTTGTAATGGAAAATGCCATATATGATTTTCTTACCTGGAATTCTGCCTTTTTGAACAGAGGTTTTGATTGAGTCCTAGCTATATTGTCTGCAGTTCTAGAGTTAATATGAATCTAATATGATTGTCATCGGTCTAAATTAGATTTCAAATGATTAACTGTGTATGTAATGAAGACCATAGTGTGGGCTGAATCCATTTTCATAACTACTGTCTTTTAACTGATTTAAATACGGAAACTGGGCTTATTCATCAGAATTTTGTATGACGACTTGACTTGCTTGACCTGAACAATGACTTGACTTGACTTGCTTGACTCTCACCGCAGTGACTTGGGACTTGCTTGATACATGTAGGTCAAGACTTGAGACTTGCTCATGACTTGCACATGTAGGACTTACTCCCACTTCTGCTATTTTGACATACTTGTACTTACTTTAGTATTTCAATCTGATGCTAAATATTCTTCTACCTTACTGCATTTTGGAGGCAAATATTGTACTTGTCCCTCTTTTACAGTTATTTAACCCTCATAGTAACTAGCTACAGTAGATAGAGTAAGTAGTATTGCATCATATAATGATATGATGCAATACTACTTACTCTATCTACACAGTATTTTCCATAAGTTACCATCATTGTCTCATCATTGACAAATTATAACAATAAAACAATATAAAATGTATTGGTGTATAAACAGATTAATAATATTCTATAATACAATAACACTGTGAACAAAGTACCAAACTGAGCACTGCTATTCAATTAACATTTACAATCAGGAATTTTACCGGAGTATTGAAAGTAAAGAAGCAATACTTCCTCCACAACTGGCCATTCACACAAAAGTCAATCAGGGTTAAATAAAGTTAAACAGAGTTGAATAAAGCTACCTGCACCCTGGCAGGTCTGGTGTCAGTTGTTGACGTGCTCTCTGCTCCTCAGGTGTTCTGTTTGCCCGGCAGTCGGCCATCGCAGCGATGACGGGACAGCGTGGGAGACACAGCAGCTGTCACACTCAGGGAAAGAGCAGTCCCTCTCAGTTCCAGCCCTCCCGCTCCTCCTCCTCCTCATCCTCATCCTCTTCCTCGCTCCACGGACACAGAAACTCCTCCCCCTGAGTTTCCTGTCCCTCTTCACCTCCTCTCCAGACTTACCAGGGAGGAAATCTTCTGAAAGACACCAAGCAGTCAGAGACACATCAGAGAAAGCCACCTTCACTCAGTTTGAGGGAGGCTTTCTCTTCATCACAATCCTTCTAGGTCAGATTGAAGAGTAGTCAACATTTTTACATGCAAGAAATCTTCCAGCCCCCCGTTTCCCCCTCTTCCTGCTCTGAATTAGCGGTGTGTTTGAGGACCTTTGTGTGTAACCATTGTCTTGAACACTTCAAAAGCATGGTCGCCTTTCATCTTCAGGTGAAACCTGGGTGAAGCCAAACGAAGAGTCCCTATTGTGCAACATTTCAATCATAACATGAACAGCTGACCTTCAGCAGGAAATGATGTTCACTTTATGAAGCTCACTACTAACAGCTGATACCAAAGAAGAAAAACAAATTCATATTGGTAAGCACGTCCAGCGTTTTCAGTGAGCATAAGCTCCAGTTATCAAAGATTATAGCGAGAACACAAGCACGTCCACAGAGGACATCTTCATGTAATGGGTGGAAAGGCTGTCTACAATAATTCATATGGTCTAACTTTGGTTAAAGATGTCTCCACCAACAAAAAGGTTACACAGAGTTATGTATGTGTGCATCCAGCAGTCTCTTCTCCTAAACAGTCAGCAGGCAATCAGAAACACGTTAGCTACTTTGTTAGCCAGAAGGCTAATGGGAACATAAGGTCACAGTTAACACATAGCTCCTCCAACAGTATCAAACAGTATCAAATATTAACATGTAATCGTAATATATCCCCATAGGATTACAACTACATTTACAACAGGGTCCCTCTACAAAATAGGTTTTTTTATTGGGTTTTTGTTGTGCACAGCAAGTACATTAATATTAAAGTGACTAGAGCAGTTGTTTGTTACCCTGAAAAAACTGTGTAAACATTCACTTTATTTAAATGTTTTATGCCAAAATATTTCACATAACTGTATTAGGTTAGTTGAAAGCAATAATATTGCAAATCGGAAATATTAGGTTCAACGTAATATTATTGCTTTCAACGGTTAGGGTTAGGGTTAGGGTTAGGGTTAGGGTTAACTGATACACTTATGTGAAACTTGTTGACATTACATTTTTTGTATCAGCTCAAAACAACATTGGACAATATAAATTGGACAATTTCACCAAAGATTTCACCAAAGATGTAATACTTGCACCACCGACCGTTAGTTTTCCAGACCAGGATGTACACAATAGAAGAACCTACCAATTGGGATAGCCAGCATTCAAAAATGTAACATTTATATGAGTTCACAAACACATATTTTGTAGACTCTGCGAAGGCTTTATAAATATGAACTTCTTATTTGTGATTACTTTAATATAATGTTACAATGGACCCTCATCAGTTTTCAATGCATCTCTTTTTTAAAGGTGCTCTTGTCCCTACATATTGTATTGTAGATTGCATTCTGGGACATCAACCACATGAAGGAAGAGTTTATTATGCATTTGGCTCACAGTTATTAGCCTTTAGTATGTTAGCTGTTGTCAGAAATGATGACAGCTAGCTGAGATAAAGAGAGAATCCTTCCCATGAAATAGTCTGCTCCCAGCAACACACTTTTTCATCTGCTGCACTTCAAAAACTGAAACATTGACTTTCAGACTTTCAATTAAATGTATTTTGTGAACAAATGTCACATTATTTCATTAGGTTATTTGAAACCAATAATAATAAGTTGAACCTAATATTTGTTATTTTTAACTTCATATTATACAGTTATGTGAAATCTGTTGTCATGGTACATTTAGATAAAGTCAACATTTCAGTTTCTTGAGTGTTGTGCAGACATGGTGAACTTTTAACAAACAGTTGCATTCTGTAGAAGGACCTCAGCAGGAGTCTTCTTCATTTAGGAGGCTGCTGACAACACTAGTTTATTCTTAACCCCCTAGGTTTGTTTTTGCTCTGATCACAAACTTGATTTTTGACACAAGAAATGCCTGATCACAAAACTTGTGGAATGCATTCTTTGCTTGTAAAGATCGCACAATATTAAATTAGTATTAAAACAAGGTAGTTAGTCAAGATCACAGAGAATCTTTCCTTCGCTTGATGACAAGAGAAGTACTTCTTTAAAAACTGTCCTCTCACTTGCAGAGTGGACAGAGACAGATTGAATTGATGTGATGGCAGACATTGTTCCGGTACAATGGTTTCCTCATTCATTAGAGCAAATGTTGCGATCGACATCATTGGCCCACTGTTATGGTTGTGGTCAGAAATACTTACAGAAATCAGCTGAGGCTGAGTCGGTAGAGCTGCGGCACATGAGACTACATTTGTTCTTTGAAGAAATCTTCTGCAGCGCACAATGAGGAGAGCCAGGACCACTGGCATGTAGAATATATCAGTGGTGTTTGTTAACATATAAGATGCATAATAAGCACAAAGCTGGCATAGCCTTGGGAAGAGATGAATCAAGAGAGTGCTTGTATGGCATTGAATTCCTTTGAGAAAAGGAGCAGAGCGCTTCAGCCCGAGGCAGCAAGCGATTGGAAATAAAGGAGGCGCACAAAGACGTGTCGTCTGCAGGAAACTGTTATCACTCACACGTTTTATATTGTGAACAGAACCTAGGTTTCGTTTTTTAGCAATGCACTTGTTTAACATCAGAAAGCTCTTCCCTCTTTAAGTTCTCTCTTTCTTTCTCAGCTTTCAATAAGATATGAAATATTTTCTTTATTATGAAGGGAAATGGGAACTAGTTTGAACATATGGGTTTTTATTAAGGCTGTTAAAGCATTTCATTGCAGATTTTATTTATTATGTTTTATATTCAATGCTGCAAACGTTGCATTCAGCTCCACCACTTTGTTGCAAACCCTTTTGAAGAGTTTTTTGGAATGCAGATACCTCACCAATCTCCCTGTACATAGTCATAGTAAAGTATGAATACAAGATATACCTCATAAATTTCATTTATTTTTTATTGTACAGCCACCTGAAAACCAATGTTTTACTTCAACAGATCACTGGATTTTTCTTTTTTTTCATATTTTGTATGATTATACCAAAGAAGGGAATATTTTATTGACACACATCTACCTCATTTGTTATAGACTGTGCCAACAAGCATGTCCACACTCTTTATTGCCGGTGTATTCATGGTGTTTCATATCCATGTATTTGTGTGAACACAAAATGCTTTTCAGTCAAAGACAAATCAATAGATTAGTTAAGCAACATGTTCTAAGTGCTTTTTACGTTGGGTGTTGTGCCGGCGCAACAAAACAGCCTTTTGTGGAACACAGTAGGGACGCTTTTCAAATGAATCCCATCTGCATGAGAACATGACCATACAGCGGGAGGAGGACAGCAGCTTGAACAATGAATGGCTCAGATTGGTGTCAGACGCTCTGATTTCCAGAAAGACTGTAAGGTGCAGTTGAAAAGCAAGTAAAGGACTCTGAGAGTGTACCATTACACTGAAGTCAGACAATGATAGGAAATATGTATCAGCTGATATAAGTTCATAGCCCAATATATCATATTGGCTGAAAAGTAACAAGAAATATCAAAAATATGTTTGAGGGCATTTGAAAATGAAGCTTGTCCAGCAGAAAGCATTGACAATGTTTTAATGCCCAGTTCACTTCATGTGTGGCTTACTATTCTTTGAAGCAAATTTAAGGATCCTTATCAAATGTTTATTTAAAAAAACAAAAACAAAGATGGGCCAATACATTCAATCGTTTTGCAAATTTAGACGACTTAAATTACGTTTCGATTACATTCGCTGTGAATTTCCTCTCGACCAAACCCCCACCTTTACTCTAGCAACACCACCAGCCAACATTTTGAACTTCACAAAACGTATCAACAGGCAGGTTCACAATATCGCACTAAGCAGATTCATGTTCCCCAGAGGTTGATCCCTTTTGAGTCGCTGTCTTCCTCACCTGATCTCGATGGGCTCAGAACAGTCTCATAATACACACATGCACACAGAAGGATTCACACTTGTATGTCATGATCCGCAAAAGGATTCACACTTGTATTTCCGGATCCACACTTGTGTTTTTCAATGCACACACAAATGTGTTACGTTTCATATACATGTAAATAAAATCCAAACACAGAAAAAAGTTTTACATATGTATTTTTGATCCACACATATTTGTTTTCCTGTTTAAATCCCCTGAACCTACAAACACAAACCGCTTTCTGTGCACGGATCGCTGTGCATTCGTGTGTGGGTTTTTTGAGACTCCCCTGACGGTCACCCGATTCGTACTTGTAATTTCTCTCATCAATAGCCAATCAGATGTCTCCTCCATTCTAAGCCAATCACATGAGCACGCCCCCACGAGGGTATGATTTCTTGCGTTCATGACACTTCATATACGCATTTTGCGCTGTCCGGTCAGCTCGCTAAACAGAGGGGGGAGCTTCAGGTGATCATGCAGAGCTGCGTGTCTCTGTCAGACTCAGCAGCTGATCTGATCTCTCTCTCGCGTCCGGTTACACTTCACTCGCGTTTATGTCCATATCGATCAGATCCAGCTCTCCTGATCGGCCTTTATAGAGAGCACCGATCAAACTATTAAGAGGGAATATCGGCCGATAATGACCGGCGGGGCTCCCCCCGTTGACAGTTCACTGTCTAGCACTGGCTTCGTAGTGCTCGATTAGGCTAAGCTAACCTGTAGCTGCTCCCTCCACACTCACAACAACTTCATACAGACATAAATAAAGCAGCTGTATTCGCCATACAGGAAACACACATTTAAAACGGTTATGCCTGCCGTTTTTGTGTACACAAGCATTCATCAATGGCATACATGCCAACCTTTCCAAATCCAAAAGAGTTAGGTTTGGGCGCAGCAAATTTGCACGCCCAAATGAGCTAATCAGAAGAAATGGAACCCCAGTAATTACATTTATAAACCATGTATTTAACATATATTGCATCATTTTATACATTTTNTGGCCTAAATCACGACTACATGATGGTTAACACTGCGGCCCTGAACAGCTCTAGGTCAAATCTGATGTTACTTAATTTGCCGTTACCATGGCAACGGATGATCCGTTGCCATGGTAACGGCAAATTAAGTAACATCAGATTTGACCTAGAG